TTCTTCATTATAGCTTTAGTTCTAGTCTCTGTCATATTTGTTTCTTAGGCTAAGCCCACAGTTTCTGTCTTTAATTGGTTCCATCTGTAGAGGTTCCACATCTACACTGAACAACATAACAGGGAGCTGTTCCAGAGAATGTAACCCTTTACAAAAGCTTTCTTAGTGCATAAGTTATAGTCTCGAAGATGTGACATCTCAGTAGTAAATGCCTTCACTGAGGTTTTAGTTTGCTTCCCTGTCCTACAATCCATGTACCATTCTGCTTGGAAGTGTTGAGCTTGTGGTCAGTCCCTGGTCTAGTGACCTGAGCTGCCCCTGGCTAGTCTTGTTGGCAAGCAGAGGCAAGTTGGTAGCTTTTCTGCTGTTGGCAGTTTCCAGAAAAATATTAGCTGGCTCTACCTGGGCGCCATGGCTCATGCCTGAAATCCCAGCTACTCAGGAGGAAGAGATTGGGAGGATTGCAGATTGAGGCCAGCCTGGGCAAAAAGTTAGTGAGACCGTCATCTCAACCAATGGCTGCATATGGTGTTACACACTCATCTTCCTAATTATAAAGGTTCAGACTAACCTGACAAGAACTTGAGACCCACAAAAATTTGGAAGTGTGGCGGCTTAGGTGGTAGCACAGGACTCTGAGTTCAACCCCAGTTACTGCCAAAAAAAAATAAAAATAAAGGGGCTAGGAAGGTGGCTCAGTGGTAGAGCGCTTGCTTTGCATGCATGAGGCCCTGGGTTCGATTCCTCAGCACCACATAAGCAGAAAAATAAGCTGGAAGTGGCACTGTGGCTCAAGTGGTAGAGCTGAAGAGTTGAGGGGCAGCGCCAGGCCCAGCGTTCAGGCCCCAGAACCGGCAAAAAAAAAAAAACCAAAAAACAGCTTTAAATTAGCCAGTCAGTCCCCACCTGAGGGTGCCAGCCCATGTAGAGCCACTGTTGTTAATTATTAGCCACTTAGGTTTCCCTCTCACCATTTTTCACTACTGGAATTCTGATTCTGGTTATAAAAGCAATTCTGTATTAAAAACTCTTCGTTATAAGAATGAAGAATGCCAGAGCAATGTTTAAAACACTTATTTCTCATAGAGTAATTTGGCCTGGACATTCAGTGTTGAGAAGGAAAAACATTCCAAAATGGAAAAACATTTTTGTTTTAGAAAAATCCTTTTTAAAATACTTATCCCAGGGAGATTCGTTTATGCCTTTGGGCCTCATTAGTCTCCAGCCTCAGCTGCTTTTAAGAATGAGCTCTGCATTATCCAGCAATGTTTTTGGCTCCTGGGACTCAGCTCAAGTCTGGTCAGGCCTCCTTGGCTGCAGTTCTTGTCCTACAAACAGATAGCCAGTTGTAGTCTCATGTGTCTGCATTCTATACTTACCTGCTCACAGCATAGCTCCGTCAGCTCCTAAAAATGCATCTAATAGAAGACTTAAAAACATCAATTGCTTTATTTGTATGCAGATAGAACATGGTGGATAATTATATATTATTCACCTTTGTGTAAGTTCATTTAATACTTGAAATTCTTTGTCTCAAAGTGTGTGCCCTGAGAAAGAGTATGTGAACAGTGAGTTTATTCATGGAGAAGGTAGTTTTTACCCCACATCTGGACTTTTGTCTAGCTGGATAGACAGTTCAATACCAGCAGTCCCCTTCATAAAGCAGTCTGCATAGACACCATTGTCTTACTCTCTTTTGAATATTAGCCAACAGAGAGACAAGTGGTCAGTGGCTTAACTCTGGAGCAAGCACATAGTGGTTAAAAGAGAATAGATTAAAAGAGCACATCTAATTATTAGTGAGAATGCTATTCCATTCTAGTCTGTTCTCAGTGGAAATGGACTGCTTATCGTGGCATCTTAGCTTGGGTCTTGTTCACTGTTGTGCACTGAAGACTAGCTCAGTGGCATATTCATGAAACCCTAGGTTCTAGCCTAGAAGTAAAAAACAAAAAGCTAGCTTTTCACTAGAAGGAAATGTTTGTGTTTGGTGGAGTTGACTTTAAGCAAAAGTTGTGAGACAGGATCTACCTCTGTAGCCCAAATGGTCTCAAAGTCACCTCAACTTCCTGAGTCTTGAGGTATAGGTATGCACCACTATACAACAGAAAAATACTTTTTAAATATTACCAAAATGAGCCTGGCACCAGTGTCTCATGTCTGTAATCCTAGCTACTTGGGAGCCTGGGATTGTTGGGATCACAGTTCAAGGTCAGCTTGTGCAGAAAATGTCCCTGAGACCCACTCCTCAAAGCATTGCTGAACACAGGAGTGCACCCTTATTGTCCTAGCTTCCCGCAAGCCTACTAAGTATAGTTGGGCAGGAAGAGTGAGTGTCTGAAAACCAGCAAAAATTAGGACTAGGGAAATGGCTTAGGAAGCTGAAGGTTCTGAGTTCAAGTCCTAATACTACTACCCAAAAAAAATCCCCACCAAAATGAACTAGGTGTCCGAAACAGACAGAGGGGCTAGGTTGAAAGGTGCCAAGGCATAGGGTGAGCATAGGCATCGCAGACTTACTTGTATTTTTTTTTTTTTTTTCCAGTCGTGGGGCCTGAACTCTGGGCCTGGGCGCTGTCCCTCAGCTCAAGGCTAGCGCTCTACCACTTGAGCCATAGCCCCACTTCCGGCTTTTTTCTTTTTGCTTATGTGGTGCTGGGGAATCGAACCCAGGGCCTCAGGCATGCAAGGCAAGCGCTCTACCACTGAGCCAACTTCCCAGCCCCACAGAGACTTATTTGAACTCCAAATTGTACTCTAGAGTGTGATGTATTCCATCATATGGTTTAATGATGACATTGCTGTTAAATAGAGCAAGAGGCAATGGTAAGAACACTCATTTGCACAAGTACTGCAAAAAAGAAAAAATGTATTTGTGCCAGACTATTGAAGTAAAAAAAGTAAAATTTCTCAAGTTTTTCACCCTTTTGGTGGGTTTGAACTCAGTGTCTTGTGCTTGCAAAATGAGTGTCTTATGCCTCCATGCCTCAGATTCTTACATGAATCTCATGCCATGTCCTATTTCCTAGCTCCAGCTTTGCAGCAAAATATTTCCAGAGTTGGGGGTTGAGTAGAGGCTCAGTCTAGATCCCATGATGGCCTTGCATCTGAAGCATGTAAGAGTTAAAGCGGAACAGATTAGGCCTATTTTGAAAAGCCTGGCCTTTTTTGATGTGTGGGGAAATACAGTCTTCAGCCACCCTTTCCATCCCGTGGCTAGGCTGGACCTGGAAGCCTTTCAGATGACCAATTCTCTGGGGAAGCAATTGACTGCTCACTGGCTTCCTGAGTGCTTGATAATGTCCTGCTCCTGTTTTCAGCCAGCCTGGGCTGAGGCCATGATTTGATAATCAGAGATCCTGATTAAATTAAGGAGCCATTTGCTCCTGAATGATGATGTTTATAAAAGGGCTGATGTCCACTCTGCCTACCTTTTCAGAGGTTTAAAAAACATGGTCTTTAAAATCTTGAACAAGTAAAATAATCAGAAGCAATACAAAGTTTGTGCTTCCTTTTCCTTCACTGTTGTGGAAGCATCCTTTGCTTTCCCAGCTGGCACCCTTGGCCTTGCACTTGGAGTTGGCACAGAAAGAAGTAGAAAGTGCCTGTGTGATGAGGCTGTGAACTGCTAATCGGCACTTTGCAAATTAGAATCCGGCTCTCTGGAGCTCCAGGTTATCGATGGTTCGGGTACACTCATGCATGCTCCCACTTGCCTGTCTTTCGGGACGGCAGCTCTTGCTCTAGTCTGTGTGTGGTGTTTTTGCTGCACTCCGCGGTGAGAAATCCTCCTGGGATGTTCAGACACGAAGGGGCTTGAACTCGCCCCCTCGTGTATGGCTGCAGTGAGGGGCTTCGCAAATCTCCGCCCGCCCGCAGCCCATCCTTGTGGGCAGGGAGGTGACATCGGCAGAGGGCGGGCCTGGGACGGCCTGAGCTCAGCTCGCTCAGGCTCAGCTCGCTGAGAGCCGGGGACCTCGCCGAGGTTGCAGTTGGTCGCCAGACCACACCTAGCAGTGAGTGCAGCCGCTGCCTGAGGCCGGAGCTCCGCCAGGGCCTGGGGTGTGCGGACCAGCCTCCAGCACCCGCCGAGCCAGCCCGGGGCCGGGGCCGCGGGGAGTCGTGGAAACGGCCAGGTGAGTGAACTGGGGATGGAGGTCCAGGGTTGGATTCTCACCACCTGAGGTGAAGCGGCCGGGGCCGGGGCTCCGCGCTCGGTGGGAAGGACACGAGCCCGAGAGCAACTTGGCGCTCACGGCCGGCGCCCGGGAGGCCCCAGTCCTGGCTGGGCAGAAGCAGACAGCGGGACCGTAGGGCAGAGGTGGCCAGTCATCCGCCCCGAGGCCTCGGGCCGGGGCAGGGCTTCCGTGGGGCCCGCGGCGGGGCCGGGCGGCCACTGTCCCCCGGGGGCACTGTCCCCCGGGGCCGCCCCGCCAGCGTCCCGCTGTGCGAGCCGGGGCGCCCCAGAAGCCCTCGGCCGCTCAGGGTCTCCCCGGCCCCGCAGGGCGATGCCGGCCTGGACCAGCCTCCACGTGCTGCGGCTGCTGCGGGAGCTGCTGGCCTTCGTGCTGCTCAGCTACACGGTGCTCCTCGGGGCGCTGCTGCTGGCCGGCTGGACCACCTACTTCCTGGTGCTCAAGTGACAGCGCTGCCGCCGCCCGAGCCCCGGCCCGCCCCGGCGCGGCGCGCCCCGGCCCGCCCCGGCGCGCGGCCCCGCTAACCCCGCAACTTCGCTCTCGGCTCGCGGGGCAGACCCGACCCCAGCCCCGTCTCGGCGCGCGCCTCCGCCCAGCGCTCCCCGGCCCCGCCTCGCCTCTCGCGGAGGCTTCGGCCGTTGGACGCCGGGCGCGGCCGTTACAGTCGTTACACTGAGTCCCGCCCCCTCCGTCCCCGCTTGTCCAATCCTAGCCGCATCCTCGGGTGGGGGCGTGCCCATGGGGCCACATCCTCTCAGGTGAAGGAGGCGGTGCCCCTCCCGCCGCTCACGATGCTGCGTCACTTCCGGCGTGTGCGTCCGCCGTCCGCCGTCCGCGGGATGGCGGCTCTGAGGAGTTGGCTGTCGCGGAGCGTAACTACACTGTTCAGGTATGGCTGCGGCGGTGGAGTGGGGCCGGGGTGGGCAGGGCGGGTGACACGAAGTGCGCTGAGGGCGGGCCCGCTGCGCCAGCCTCGCTGCCGCGCCTTCGCCGGGTCGGGACGGCCTCGGTCGGGCTGGGGTCCTTCTTGGTGGCTTCTCCGTGACTCCGGCCGCCTGCCCAGCCCGCTCCCGGTGGCCCGGCCGAGGCGCCCGGGGCCCCGGCCTGGGCTTGCAGCGAAGCCCTGCCTGCCGACGGGAGTGAGGCCGGCGGCGCGGCGCGGCGCGGGAGCGTGGAGCGGCCCGCGGACTTGGCTCAGCCAGTTGGACTTCTGCTTGCAGGTACAGACAGTGTGTCCCTGTGGTGGTGAACTCCAAGAGACGCTGCTTCGCAGAATTGGTAAGACCGTGGCACAAAGCTGTGGTGGCTGGGTTCGGCGTAACCCTGTGTGCCGTGCCTGTTGCTCAGGTAAAGTGCTGCCGCATCACTCCGTGGCTGTTTCCCACCCGTTATGCTATGGGTTTCTACTGCTCCATCATTTCAGAGTTGGGCAGGTGTATTCATATTCACATTTTCATCAATTCTACCACTGTCAGCTTTTGCCCCCAAACTTAGTCCTTCTACCCCTTCTCAGGCTTGTGGGACCAGTAATCAGCACCAGTTGAACAGTGAAGGAAACTTACTCCTGAGGCTAAGAATAGTAGTTCATCAACATTAGGTGTCAGATGATTGTAAAGTAAAATGGCCCAGCTGAAAGGAATTTTTTTTTTTTTCTTCTGGCCAGTGGTGGGGCTTGAACTCAAGGCCTGAGCTTCTTTATGCTCAAGGCTAGCACTATAGCACTTGAGCCACAGTGCTGCTTCTGGTTCTTTCTGTTTATGTGGTACTGAGGAATCAAACCCAGGACTTCATGCATGGCATGCCAGGCAAGCACTCTACCACCACTGAGCCACATTCCCAAGACCAGAAAGGAATTGGGGGGCAGGGGAGGGTCTTGTTGTGGGGCTTGAACTCTAGGCCTGGGTGCTGTGCTGAACTCTTCAACTCAAGGCAAGTGCTCTACTACTTGAGTCACAGTGCCACTTCCAGTTTTCTGGTGGTTAATTGAAGATGAGTCTCATGGACTTTCCCACCCAAGCAGGCTTTGAACTGAGACCCTCAAAGCCTCCTGAATAGCTAGGATTACAGGAGTGAGCTACCGGTGCCAGGCTCTGGAAGGAATTCTTAAATGCAAAGGCCCACGCCTGTTTGAGGAACTTCAAGGGTGCTAATGTGGCTGAGGTGGAATGAAGATGGGGACCCAGGATTAACTGAAAATTGTGTGCTTTGTACAAGGATGCTGTGTGGATCTAGGAAGAATAATAAGAAGTTTGTGCTGTTGTGTGAGTATAAGAAAGTGGCTCAGACTAGGCAGACAGCAGAGGAGATAGGAAGTCAGCCATATGTGGCAAGTAGTTCATGTATATGACATATATAACTTAGATTCCAGAGGCAGCTAAAAGAATGGTGCTACTATTAATTGAGATGGAAAGACATCAGGAGATACCTCAGTGGAGGTGGTTGACATGGAGGCAGCACCTTAATTTAAAAAAAAAGAATTACCAACTATAGAACTTATGGAAAACACAGATAGGGAACCAGCAAGCCCATTCCAGCCAAGTAATTCTGAAATGTTTGTATTTAATAAAATTAACTTCGCAGTGAGTGTTTTCAGTAACTTCTGAGGCTCATGCACAAGCCCCAGAACACTGCCTCATTTTTGTTGTCATCTGCATAATCCTGAGTCTTTAGCTTTCAAACCCTCACTTTAAACATCAGGGCATTTTCAGCAGCAATTGGGATGATTTTTTCTTTCAAAGGACTTTTTTGTACTAGTACTGGGCCATATGACTGAAGCCTCTAGTCCTTGCCCTATAGTGTGCTCCAAAACCCGAGTTGTGTGTTAGAGCTAAAACCTCTTCCTGCATTCCCCCACTCCAGCCACTTTCTTTTTCCTGTGCCCACCAGACTAGATTACTAGGCATCCTTTGTAGACAAAAAGTGTGTTTTTCCCTTCATTGTTCTTGTTATGACGCTGCCTTCCCTATCAGGGCCCACCTCTCTTTAAAAGCCTTTCCTAATTCCCAGTAACAACCATTGTTTTCCTAACCACTTGATGGTTCAGTTGATAAGTTCCATCAAGTTAACCACTTGATGGAAAGTTGATGATAATCTCTGTGGCACTGCCCTGAGTCAGCAGAACATTAGAGAAAGGGTACAGAAGTGAAAAAATAAGGTTTGAGGGCTAGATGTGTGATGTGCTGTGTAACCATTCTGTCACATAACTATTATGAGCTTCCATTTCATCATCTGGAAAAAAACAATATCTGGACTGTGTGAGGATACTAACATTGGAAAAGTAGTTTATGAAAACTTATGACAGAGGTGTCATTTTTTTCCTTCTGTAGCTCTTCAATATAAAGTACCTGATAATTGCCTAGTTGAATGAAATATAAGCCTGATAGGTAAAATTCTTGATTTATTCGTGTACCAAAAGTAGTTGACTGCTGCTTTCAACATGTAGTTTGATGTGAGGGGGTCTACAAGTAGCTCCAAAAACATGGCAGAGCCTATCATAGAGCCATTGGGTTCTTTGTTCCAATAACAATAAGTACTGCACTGGCGCTAGGGGCTCATACCTACTACTCCCAGCTACTCAGACAGCTGATATCTGAATCTGAGGATCGTAGTTTGAAGCCAGCCTGGGCAGGAAAGTCCGTGAGACTCTTATCACCAAATAAACTACTGAGAAAAAGCCAGAAGTGGCGCTGTGGCTCAAGTAGTTGAGTACTAGCTACCTCTGAGCCCAAAGAGGCTCAGGGAGAGCACCCAGGCCCTGAGTTCAAGCTCCAGGACCAGCAAAAAAAAAAAAACAGTAAGTATTCTGTTGACAAGAAAAGAGTCTTGGATGATGGATCATTCATATCACTCTTAAGGTAGTTTTTGGTAGGTTTTTTGTTTTGGTGTTACTGAGGGTTGATCAGGGGCTTACCAGGCAAGTGTAGCACACTTGAATCATGCACCTAGTCCTTTGTGGGGCTTGAAGTCAGAGCCTGGGCACACTCCCTGAGCTCTTTTTTTTTTTTTTTTGGGGTATGGTCGTGGGGCCTGAACTCTGGGCCTGGGCACTGTCCCTCAGCTCTTCACCTCAAGGCTAGCGCTCTACCACTTGAGCCATAGCGCCACTTCCAGCTTTTTTTTTCTACTTATGTGGTGCTGAGGAATCGAACCTAGGTCCTCATGCATGCAAGGCAAGCGCTCTACCACTGAGCCATCTTCCCAGCCCCTCCCTGAGCTTTTTTGCTCAAGGCTAGTGCTCTGCCACCAGCATGAGGGTTCCACTTTCCATTTTCTGGTGGTTAAGTGGAGATTAGAGTTTGACAGACTTTTTTGCCTGGGCTGGCTTTGAACTGTGATCCTCAGGTTTCAGCCTCCCGAGTAGCTAGGATTGATTACAGGTTTTGTTTTTTAATGTAATAGCTGAGGTCAAAGTAAAGAATTCAAATACTGTACTGCTCATTGCAGTCAATTTATCTTCCCATTCTTCCCTATTTCTTTGTGTGTGTATGTATGTACATATCAATACTGAGACTTGAACTCTAGGCCTGTCTCTTGGATTTTTCCACTCAGTACTAGTACTCTACCACACCTCCTTTTCCAATTTTTTGCTAGTTGGAGATGAGGTCCTCACATTTATTTGCCCCAACTGGCTTTGAAACGCAGTTTTTAGGTATCAGCCTCTTCAGTAGCTCTAGGATTTCAGCTGTGAGCCAGCAGCACTATAGTTGTCCACTTACTTTTTTTTTTTTTTTTTTGGTCAATCGTGGGCCCTGAACTCTGGGCCTGGGCGCTGTCCCTCAGCATTTTAGCTCAAGACTAGCACTCTACCACTTGAGCCACAGCACCACTTCCAGCTTTTTCTGTTTATGTGGTGCTGAGGAATCAAACCCAGGTCCTCATTCATACAAGGCAAACGCTCTACCACTGAGCCACCTTCCCAGCCCCTGTCCTTTTTTTTTTTTTTGGTCAGTCGTGGGGCTTGAACTCTGGGCCTGAGCGCTGCCCCTCAACTCAAGGCGAGCACTCTACCACTTGAGCTACAGCACCACTTCCAGTTTTTCTGGTGGTTTATTAGAGATAGGAGTCTCACGGAGTTTCCTGCCCAGGCTGGCTTTGAACCGTGATCCTCAGATCTCAGCCTCCTGAGTAGCTAGGATGACAGGCGTGAGCCACCAGTGCCCAGCTCCATTTACTTTTAAATACAACTTAATCTGTATCAATGTTATGAAGCTTTTCACATTATCACCTCAACCTAGAATTGGGAGTTGCCCGTATATGCCTCTTGGTGGGTTGTAGGCTTGCCATTGCCCCTGTTATATTTGATTGCATTCAGTTCTCTAGTCCTCCATCATCCTCTGCTTGCCTAAAATCTTTGAGGACAGAAAATGTTTTTATATTGCAGTCATGTAACACTGTTAATAAATAAGTTGTAATTTTGTGACTGTTACCATGCTCATTTTATATAAAAATGTAAATATAAAGAATGAAAGTAGTAATAGTGGGGCTGGGAATATGGCCTAGTGGTAGATTGCTTACCTAGTATATATGAAGCCCTGGGTTTGATTCCTCAGTACCACATAAACAAAAACTAAATATAGTACATAAAATTAAAAGAGACGCCCAGGCCCAGAGTTCAAGCCCCACAACCAACAAAAAAAATAAATAAATAAATAAAATTAAAAGAGAAAACATCTAAAGTAATAATAGCACACTCTAGAATTATTTCTCCATACTATCTTTCTTTAAAAAAGAAGTTACCCAAAGAACATAGTACCATTGCAGCATAAAACACTAAAGCAGCATGAGAAATATTTTCTTGGCTGTGCATGGAAAAGTTCTGAGCTATTTAGAAGTTGAGTGACAGTGTTTATGAGAATGTTTCTGTGTCTTTCAGAAATCGGAGCCTCAGTCTCTTAGTAATGAAGCATTAATGAGGAGGGCAGTGTCTTTGGTAACAGATAGCACCTCTACCTTTCTCTCTCAAACCACATATGCATTGATCGAAGCAATCACTGAATATACTAAGGTATGTCCTCTTTTTTTTTGGTCGGTTGTGGGGCTTGAACTCTGGGCTTGGGCGCTGTCCCTGAGCTTCACAGCTTAAGGCAAGTGCTCTAACACTTGAGTCACAGCGCCACTTTCACCTTTTTCAGTTTATGTGGTGCTAAGGAATCGAACCCAGGGCCTCATGCATGCGAGGCAAGCACTCTACCACTGAGCCACCTTCCTAGCCCACATGTCCTCTTTACTAAGTCCTATTTTTTCCCCTTGGGCACTGGAGATCATTCTAGAAATCTTTTTTTTTTTTCCCCAGGCCCAACGTGGGCCTGGGTGCTGTTGCTGGGCCTCTTTGTGCTCAAGGCTAGCGCTCTACCACTTGAGCCACAGCACCACTTCGGGCTTTTTGGCGATAAGAGCCTCACAGACTTTGCTGCCTGGGTTGGCTGTGAACTGCAGTCCTCAGATCTGAGCCTCCTGAGTAGCTAGGATGACAGGCGTGAGCCACCAGCAATAACATAGTGCAGTCCACCTCAGCATGGTTCCCCAGAGATCAAAGGACACAACGCCTACCATCAGGGTTTCCCTGTAAGGACTACTTAAAAATCGTAAGACTTACCTCAAAAAATGTTTTTCTTACTTACCTATATTTTCAGTAGCTTTTTCCTCAAATTTTGTTTGTTGTTCTGGGGTTTGAACTTAGGGCCTTGGACTTTCGTCCCAGAGGGTTAATGGTAAATAACCCACAGAGTATGTGATGGCATGCTGTGCAACAGAGGCTCTACCTCGTTCAGTAAGAGTGCAGTTTCAGTGAGCCACAAAGACTGGAGTCAGTTGGCTGTGGTGGGACTTACACCTTCAAGGTGTAAATGTCACTAACCTTTCTCCTATGTCTCACTTTACCAAGACTTATTTATTCTGTATTTGTAGGCTGTATATACGTTAGTTTCTCTGTACCGGCAATATACAAGTTTGCTTGGGAAAATGAATTCACAGGAGGAAGATGAAGTATGGCAGGTGATTATAGGAGCCAGAGTTGAGGTGAGCAAAAATCCCATTAGTTATTTCTGTATTAGTGGTCCTAGCTTGTTATAGAATTAGGGTATCTAACAACTCTTCCTAATTGTGCTATTTTGAATAAGTCCAGTCAACTGTGCTAAACCTCTTTGTATTGTCTGAAGCTCTTTGCTAAATTTACAGATGACTTCAAAACAACAAGAATACTTAAAGCTAGAAACCACCTGGATGACTGCAGTTGGTCTCTCAGAGATGGCAGCAGAAGCCGCATACCAAACTGGTAGGGACCTTTTTTTTTTTTTTCTTTTTTTCTTTTTTTGCCGGTCCTGAGTCTTGAACTCTGGGCCTGGGAGCTGTCCCTGAGCTCCTTTAAGGATAGCATTCTACCATTTGAGCCACAGTGCCACTTCCAAGGTTGGACTTTTAACATGAAGGACCCTGTTTGACTTAATCTAGCTATAAAATGAGGGCGTTAGATGTTCTCATTCAGGGGTAGGGAACTTTTTTCTGCCAAGGAATTCTTGGCTATTTGTATTTATACAAATTTATCACCCACCTCTCTGTATGGTATTTTCACAATAAAAAAATAAAATTAAAAGCACTTTACTTCAAAGATAAAAAAACAAAAAAAAATCAAATTTATCACCCAGGCACAGAGGGCGAGGCCACTTACAAGTAGCAGGTGTGTCTGTTGCAGATGATTTCAAGGGTCTTAAATGACCAAGAGCTGCACATTCCCCATCCCAAAATTATACCCAGTTTGGCTCTAACTTATAAGGTTTCCTTCAGTATGTTCACTACCACTTGATGGCTTAATAGAAAAAGAGCATCCACAGAAGCGAGGTCACTAATATCTTGAAAAATAAAACTGATTATGTACGAATATTGAAGCAATTCATTTGTTCAAAATCTGTACAACTTAGTAAAAGTCATAGAATGACTTTGGATAATGATTAGAATCCCAGTTGATGGCAAACTAGTATTAAGTCATGGAGTGTTTCTCTTATTTCACGCATTGTGGTAAGTGCTTCACAGGAACTTCTTTTTATTCATATAGTGTACAAGGGCACACAGGCACTTTTAAAATAGGAGCTATTGCTGAGTACCTGTAGTTCACACCTATCATCCTAGGACACTGAAATCTGAGGATCAAGGTTCAAAGCCAGCCAGGGAGGCTCAAATGTCCAATTAAGCAGCCAAAAGCCAGGAGTGGAGCCATGGCTCAAATGTTAAAGAGCAGGTATGAGCAAAAAAGCAGCAGAAGAACACTAGGCCTGAGTTTACACTCTAGTTCTAGCACCAAAAGTTAAACAAATAGCTATTGCTATTCTTCATTCCCACTCCAGTTGAAGAAACTGAACACTTAAGACACCATGGCATGGTGAGTGCCAGACTGAGACTCAGCCAACAAGCTCCTAGTAGCCAGGCTTGCGTTGCTCATCTTTCAGTGCCCCAAGACAGGAAATGCAGTCTTGTGGGGGCTTTTCCCCTGAGGCATATTTTCTTCCAATGGACCCAAAATGAGAGAGAGGGAGAGAGAGAGAGTGTGTAGTTAATTGGAGATAAAAGTATTTTTCTTTTTTTTTTTTTTTTGGTCCAGTCATGGGGCCTGAACTCTGGGCCTGGGCGCTGTCCCTCAGCTCTTCAGCTCAAGGCTAGCGCTCTACCACTTGAGCCACAGCGCCACTTCTGGCTTTTTTTTTTTTTTTCTAATACTTATGTGGTACTGAGGAATCGAAGCCAGGGCCTCAGGCATGCAAGGCAAGCGCTCTACCACTGAGCCACCTTCCCAGCCCCCATAAAAGTATTTAATTTTTCTGTTCAGGCTGGCAGAACCTTGATTCTCCAACTCAGTCTCCTGAATAGCCTGAGCCACTAGTGTCTGGCAGTTGTTTTTTAATTAATGTCCTTTGAGGAAAACCTTAGATTAACATCTTACCTGATTCAACTCAAACTAGGTAGATTTACAGAAATTACAGTTTAAGCCCAAGTTAGTAAGAAATTAAGTTAAACTACTCTTGCTTTCTCATTTCAGGATATTAGACTAGAGTTTGTAGTATTAAATCATAAAAAATGATAGGAAGGTAGGGAATTCTTGTTCTGTTCTGGATTTGTTGTTTTGGATGGGTCCCTGGGCATTGATTATACCTATTAGGTACTCTCGACTTTGAGCTCTCACTTGGATTTTTTACTTAAAGCTAATGTTCTACCACTTGAAACAGTGCCTCCATTTCTGGCTTTTGGCTGATTAATTGAAGTAAGATTCTGCCTAGGTGGGCTTTGAACCTTGATCCTTAGATCTCAACCTTTTGAGTAGCTAGGATTATAAATGTGAGCCACTGAGACCATCAGAAACTGCCTCCACTCATCTAGCAACATTAAGTCAAAAGGAGAAAAGACGGAGGAGGATGTATGAGTACTAGCCAAAGAATGATTCAGAGTGCTCACATTAAAAGTTCTGAAGAAGAAAAATAAAAATAAATGAAAATTCTCAAGAGGGCTGGGAATGTGGCTTAGTGGTAGAATGCTTGCCTACCATGCGTGAAGCCCCAGGTTTGATTCCTCAGTACCACATACACAGAAAGAAAGCTGGAAGTGGGGCTGTGGCTCAAGTGGTAGAGTGCTAGCCTTGAGCATAAAGAGGCTCAGGGACAGTGCCCAGGCCCTGAGGTCAAGCATCAGGACTGGCACAAAAAAAAAAAAAAAGTTATGAAGAGAACCAGACATCAGTGGCTCACATCTGTAATCGTAGCTACTCAGAAGGTTGAAATCCAAGGATCATAGTAGGAAAGTAAGACTCGTTACCTCCAATAAACTGCTCAGAAAAAGCTGGAAGTGGTACTGTGGCTCAAATGGTAGAGCACTAGCCTTGAGCACAAAGAGGCTCAGGAATAGCGCCCAGGCCCTGAGTTCAAGCCCCAGGACCGGCCAAAAAAACCCAAGCAAACAATTCCTACATTACAGAAAGTATATACCAATGTTCAGAAATTGACAGCGGGGGCTGGGAAGGTGGCTCAGTGGTAGAGTGCTCGCCTTGCACGCATGAGGCCCTAGGTTCAATTCCTCAGCACCACATAAGCAGAAAAAACCAGAAGTGGGGCTATGGCTCAAGTGGTAGAGCGCTGGTCTACAGCTGAAGAGCTGGGGGACAGCGCCCAGGCCCAGAGTTCAAGCCTGACAATTGGCATTAAAAAAAAAGAAAGAAAGAAATTGACAGCGGACCTCTATAATGGTGGGGGGCAGCAAAGCATGGATGCCAGACCAGCACTTAAAAAAAACAAACCTAGTTTAGTGTCACTTCTAAATGTAGATGCCTTCAGCACAGTGATGGCTCAACGCAGAAAACTGCCCGTGATTCATGACTTGAGGTTATTTACAGTAGATTAAAAGTCACCATGGCCAGGCACTGGTGGCTCACTCCTGTAATCCCTAGGCTATGCAGGAAGCCAAGATCTGAGGATCATCATTCCCAGCCAGCCTGGACAGGCGTGAATGTCTGTGAGACTCTTATTTCAGATAAGAAAAATAAAAAGTGGAGCTATGAGTGAAGTGGAAGAGCACTAACCTTATGCATAAGTTCAGGAACGGTGCCCAAGCTCTGAGTTCAAGCCCCAGGACTGTTACCCACACCATGTATATGTCCTACTTGGTGTGCTGCTCTATGCCTCTAATCCCCTCACTCAGGAAGCTGAGCCAAGAAGCCGGACTACATAATTAAATCTTTCTCTTTTTTCTTTTCAATTGGTCGTAGGGCTTAAACTCTGGGTCTGGGCACTGTCCCTGAGCTCTTCAGCTCAAGGCATACACTCTACCACTTGAGCCACAGTGCCACTTCCGATTTTCTGGTGGTTCATTGGAAATAAGAGTCTTAGGGACTTTTCCTGTCCAGGCTGACTTTGAACCATGATCCTCAGATCTCAGCCTCCTGAGTAGCTAGAATTACAGGCATGAGCCACCAGCACCTGGCTTCTTTTTTCTTTTTTTAATGGAGAATTGAATTTAGAGGCCGAGGTGTGTCTGAGGAGAAAGAAGGTCCGAGGGTCTGAGAAAAACGAGCCTCAGCGAGGTTCAGATGCTAATCACAGAGCCTTGCTGTCCTCAAGTCCACATGTGCCCTCTGCCCTGTCCTGCTCAGTTTTTGCTCCATTTTTTGGCAGGAGCAGACCAGGCCTCTATAACTGCCAGGAATCACATCCAGCTGGTGAAATCGCAGGTGCAAGAAGTGCGCCAGCTCTCCCAGAAGGCAGAAACCAAGCTGGCAGAAGTGCAGACACAAGAGCTGCATCAGAAGACACAGGAGGTAGGGGACGAGAGGGCCGACCAGGAGCAGGAGGCCTACCTGCGGGAAGATTGAGGGCCCGAGCCAGCTGCCATCTACCCACCCCATGGGGAAAGCAGGGGTGGATGCCATGTACCCAGCATGGGCGCAGCTCTGCACAGAGAAGACACCACTGGTCCTGCACTGGCCGATTAGACCAGAAACCCTGTGAGCTGCGAGTGCCCGGCCCCTTCCCCTGCAGGCTCTGCTTTTCCTGGACCTGGTTCTTAGCCCTGGGGCACTGTACCCTGTTTAACATTGCACACACACCCCAAAAACATCCCACAGCACAGCTGCTCTCTCTGGCTGATCTTACCTCACACCCAAAAGCATTTCATCAGCCTGGGCCAGAGGGGCCTTCCTGTCACCCTCACGTTCCTCAGCTGTTTAGCCTGTTTTTAATCTTGTTCAGATTTTCAAATATGATTTAGTATTTGCTCCCTCCAGAGGGATGAGAGTTGGAGGAAAGGGGGAGCCCATCCAGTTTCCAAGATTTCTCTTTAAGTGTTTCTGTAATACCTTCTTTAATCTGGCCCCACGGCCCTGTGAGACAGCTCAGGTCGAGGCAATGAGTCTGTTAGTAAGGAAGGAATGCGGTGTCACCTGGTGCTTTCAACACGACTTACTCTTAACCCAGGCCTCCCGTCTGCTTGCTTCGAGTTCCTCCACTGCCTCCTGAGGAGGATGCATCCTCCCTCCCACATGAGCAGGGTCTCCCCATGCGTTTCCAGCCGCATTTGCTCCCATTCAATACATGCTAGACAAGTTGGCCAGACTAACGCGTTTTTAATGAGAGCAAGCAAGGTGGGAGGGAGGTTTACAACAGCGTTTCCTGAAGACCTGTGAGGCTCTCACCTTCCGAGTAGTAGATCCACACTGAGTCCATCCGAGTGTTCTCAGCCCACCCCTGAGAGCTGAGGCCCGGGAGCGGCTGCACACGGAAGCCGCTCATCGGTCACCGCTGCCCATGTGGTCCACATCTCCAGGGGGCTGAGGCGGTGCACCAGCAGGAGCCCTTTGTAGAGGCAGGGGTCTGGTGGCTGCCGGATTCCAAATGTCTTGAAGCCAGCGTGGTGCGTGGGGCTCACCCCCGCCTTCCTCAGGCACATTCCCACAAAGACGTCGTCGATGGGGAAGAGTTCGGTCGCCTCAGCGGCTCTGTGGAGCTTTCTCACCGTGGCTCTGGACATCACGTAGCCACCACCCCCTGCGTAGGGTGGGTAGTGGCGGGCCCTGTACATGGAGGGCGGGATGAAGTATTTGACTCGAGTGTTCCTGTTGGGCAAGGCCTGGTGGATGACATCTCCTACCAGGAGGTCCTGGGCTGGGTCCTGGCCATCCAGGAACTCCAGCACATTGGGGACGTGGACAAAGACGTCATCGTCTCCCTTCAGTACGAAGTGGGCCTGGGCGCAGGCAGCCGCCACCCAGCGCTGCAGGTGCAGCTCCTTGAGTGTGAGGTTGAAAAAGTCTTCATCAAAATCCCACTGCAGAATGTCATCGAACTGCCAGCTCTCATAGGCCAGCAGCTGGGCCGGGGGTTCAGGTCCCGCCACCCCGAGGAGGAACACGAGCTTCAGCTGTCGGCCCCTAGCCCAGCTCCCTGCCCGGCCCCACGTGCTGCGGATGGCTGCACGGCGCTCCACCTGACCAGGCTGTGATTTGATGGCTAGAAGCAGGAAGGTATCCTTGGCACACCTGGAAGGCTCCAGCAAAATGCTGAAGTTTCTGCAGTGGCGATAGGTCAAGAAGAGGCGGTGCCGGCTGGGCAGGGCCAGGGCGGCCTTGGCTGCTGTGTGGTTGGGTAAGCAGCGACAGGGGTGGGGGCCAGGGGAAACCCAGAAGGGCTGCAGGGCTTCGGAGCCCCCGGCAGGCACCGCCTCCCTCCTCAGGAGCAGCCAGCTGCTAAACAGCAGAGCCGCAGGGAGCAGTAGCCAGCCCGCGCGCAGCAGCATGTCCACGCCCTGCCGGCCTGCAGGGAGAGACACCTGAGCCCGGCACCCTGCTGGCTTTCAAGGCGGCTATTTATCCTCCATGTATCCTCAGCCACTCCCCTCCCTGGAGAATAGCAAAGCGCACCTGCTCACCACTCTCCCTGCCATCTGCCATCTTCAGGGGCGTGGCTAGGGTCCAGTTTCCTCCCAGATAACTTGCAGATATTTAAGACACCACAAACATTCGCAGCCTTCCCCAGAAAACACGGTAGGCTTGGGCCTGAGGGCTTCACTGGAAATGAACACTAGGGGAACTTTGCTCAAATCCATTCTAACCTGAAAAGCTCTTCAAGTGCAGACGCAAGGTATTGCACAGGGAAGTGGAGCTGTGGCTCAAGCGGCAGAGCACCAGCCTCCAGGGGAGGGGAACAGGCACAAGGCCTTGCCTTTAAGGCCAATATCAGCACACACTGAGCTTAGTGTCCAGCCTCCTGCCAGAGGCAGGGCAGCAGGTGCCATGGCCTCCAAAGAATGCCTCCCCTGGCACACACACACACACCCCTCTGCCCCATCGGTCTGGCGGCTTCCCGGTAGCCCGCCAAACTGATTTGGGGCAAAATCCTAGAAAGCATACCAGGACAGGGGAAAGGAAGTCATCGCATCTCCCAGCAATGTCAAGCTGGGGAAATGCTGTTCAAAGGAGCCAGGCTCCACCCATCTTGTCCTCTCCCTCCAGCCGCCCCTCTCCCATGAAGTCTAAGCCTCCATTACTACAGCTTCCAGATCCTTCTCCAGCCCTTATGCAGGAGCCCACCCCTGCTGCCCCTATCACTTTGCAGGCAAAGCAGCCAGGACGCCCTGGGGTGCTGTGCACAGGGAAGGGACCCAAGTCAGCCGCGGCCCGGGAGTGGGGATGCCCTGCCCCAGCCCAGGCCAGCATTCCTCCGCGCTCCTCGGGCAGCGCACCGCCAGACGCCCGCTGCCCATGGGCGAGGGGGGACGGGGGAAAGAGGCGCAGAGCAATGAGGGCTTCAGAACCACGGGTGGGCAGACCTACGGGGAGGGGCAGAGCCACAGGGGGGGCAGACCCACGGGGAGGCGCAGACCCACGGGGAGGCGCAGACCCACGGGGGGGGGCGCAGACCCACGGGGGCAGGCAGGCCCACAGGGGAGCAGACCCACAGGGAGGGGGCGCAGACCCACGGGGGTGCAGACCCACGGGGGGGGGGACAGACCCACGGGGCAGGCAGACCCACGGGGAGGCGCAGACCCACGGGGGGGCCGCAGACCCACGGGGAGGGGCAGACCCACGGGGGAGGCGCAGACCCACGGGGAGGGGCAGACCCACGGGGAGGGGCAGACCCACGGGGGTGCAGACCCACGGGGAGGCGCAGACCCACGGGGAGGGGTAGACCCACGGGGGGCCGCAGACCCACGGGGGAGGCGCAGACTCACGGGGGGCCGCAGACCCACGGGGAGGCGCAGACCCACGGGGAGGCGCAGACCCACGGGGAGGCGCAGACCCACGGGGAGGGGCAGACCCACGGGGGGCCGCAGACCCACGGGGAGGGGCAGACCCACGGGGAGGGGCAGACCCACGGGGAGGCGCAGACCCACGGGGGCAGGCAGACCCACGGGGAGGGGCAGACCCACGGGGAGGCGCAGACCCACGGGGAGGGGCAGACCCACGGGGAGGGGCAGACCCACGGGGAGGCGCAGACCCACGGGGGCAGGCAGACCCACGGGGAGGCGCAGACCCACGGGGAGGCGCAGACCCACGGGGGCAGGCAGACCCACGGGGAGGCGCAGACCCACGGGGAGGCGCAGACCCACGGGGAGGCGCAGACCCACGGGGGCAGGCAGACCCACGGGGAGGGGCAGACCCACGGGGAGGGGCAGACCCACGGGGGCAGGCAGACCCACGGGGAGGCGCAGACCCACGGGGAGGGGCAGACCCACGGGGAGGGGCAGACCCACGGGGGCGCAGACCCACGGGGAGGGGCAGACCCACGGGGAGGGGCAGACCCACGGGGGCAGGCAGACCCACGGGGAGGGGCAGACCCACGGGGAGGGGGCGCAGACCCACGGGGAGGGGCAGACCCACGGGGGTGCAGACCCACGGGGCAGCGCAGACCCACGGGGGCAGGCAGACCCACGGGGGCGCAGACCCACGGCGGGGACAGACCCACGGGGGCGCAGACCCACGGGGAGGGGGCGCAGACCCACGGGGAGGGGGCGCAGACCCACGGGGAGGGGCAGACCCACGGGGAGGGGGCGCAGACCCACGGGGAGGGGCAGACCCACGGGGCAGCGCAGACCCACGGGGAGGGGGCGCAGACCCACGGGAGAGGCGCGGCCGCAGCCCCGGGACGGTCTTTCAAGGCGGCTCAGGGATTTCGGGGCTGCGGCGGGCAGGGGGACCCCGCGGGTCGGGTCAGGCCATTGCGCTCCCTGGAGGCGCCGAGCGGCCCGCGGGCCCCGCCGCAGGAAGCCGCACACGCACTGGCGCCCGTCCGGCACAGGGGTCGGGGTACCGAGCCCCTGTCAGCCTAACCCCGGGACCCACCTGAGCGCGCGTCGGGCCGCCGCGCACCGGAGGGCAGGGCGCACCGGAGGGAGGGCGCACCGGAGGGAGGGCGCACCGGAGGGAGGGCGCACCGGAGGGCAGACAGCGTCCGGCGTCCGGGTGTGAACCGCTCGGGGAGGGGGCGGGGCGGGGCATGGTGTGGGCGGGGCCTCCTTGAGGTTTCTCCCCCCCCCCCTCCCGCACACAGGTGCGCCTCCGCCGCGTCCCCGGCCTCCGCCGCGTCCCCGGCCTCCGCCGCGTCCCGGGGCCCAGACGGCTCCGCCGCCCCTGACGCGGGGCCCGGAGGCCGGCGGCGCCGCAGCCCTTCCCGCTCGCAGGCAGACGCCCAGGCGGAGTGCTCAGAACCGCCTTTACTGGCCCACGTCCGCCAGGGTGTGGAAGGCCTCCTCCGCCGTGCGGTACTGGCTCAGCTGGATCTGCACCTCCACCGACAGCGGCTGCGGCCGGTACGAGCTCTCGGAGGCCGGGACCGCCGCCTTGCTCTGCTCTGAGAAAGAGAAAACACTTGTTTGGTTTTGTTGTCGGCCGTGGGGCTTGAACGCGTGGCCTGGCGCTGTCCCTGCGCGCTCAGCTCCAGGCCAGCGCCACTTCCGGTTTTCTGGTAGCTTATTGAAGCGTCTCACGGTCTCTCCTGCCCGGGCTGGCTTTGAACCGCGATCCTCAGAGCTCGGCCCCTGAGTAGCTGGAACGACAGGCCTGAGCCGCCGGCGCCGGCCCAAACATTGTGTTTACTGAAAACATTGACAAATGATGGGTGGTCAGTGGTCAGTCTTGGGTATTTGGCAAATATTTCCTCCAAAAGAAGAAAGAAGTGGGGGGAGGGATGAAGAAGGGAAGAAAGAAGAAGAAACCCCTGCCCTTGCTGGGAAGACAGCTGACTGAAAGCATTTTGATGAATAAATTGGTAACATTTGAGTTTTCAGGTAGAAATTGGAACTTTGGGGGCAGGGAAGGTGGCTCAGTGGTAGAGCGCTTGACTTGCATGCATGAGGCCCTCGGTTCGATTCCTCAGTATCACATAAGCAAAAAAAGAAAAAAAAGCCGGAAGTGGCACTGTGGCTCAAGTGGTAGAGCGCTAGCCTTGAGCTGAAGAGCTGAGGGACAGTGCCCAGACCCAGAGTTCAGGCCCCACAACTGGACCCCAAAAAAAAAAAACAAAAAAGAAAAAGAAATTGGAACTTTGGGGTTGGGAATGTGGCTTAGTGGTAGTGTTTGCCGAGCATGTATGAAGCACTGGTTCGATTCCCTAGTGCCAATGAACAGAAAAAGCTGGAGGCCAGGTGCTGGTGGCTCACACCTGTAATTCTAGCTACTCAGGAGCTGAGGGAGTGGCGCTGTGGCTCAAGGGGTAGGGCCCTAGTCTTGAGCTGAAGAGCTCAGGGACAGTGTCCAAGCCCAGAGTTCAAGCCCCACGACATACAAAAACAAAAAACAAAACTCAGGAGCTGAGATCTGAGGATTGTGGTTCAAAGCCAGCCCAGGCAGGACAGTCCATGAGACTCTTATCTCCAATAAACCACTAGAAAACCGGAAGTGGCGCTGTGGCTCAAGTGGTAGAGCGCTCGCCTTGAGCTGAAGAGCTGAGGGACAGCGCCCAGGCCCGGAGTTCAGGCCCCAGGGCTGGGAGGGTGAGCACTCACATAGATCACATTTTGTGGCAGCCTGTAATGGAACTGCAGAGGAGAGGAGAGAGCACTGGCCCCGCTCCCAGTGCTCCAGGGCAGAGCCTGGGGGGGGGGGGGGGCTGCTGCGGACTCATACCTTTTTTAGCAGTTTTCGATTTCTTGGTCTTCTTTGAATCCTGAAAGAAAGAACCACAGGTGAGATGCTTACTGGGGGAGGGGGGAGCCAATGATGGGGGGGGGGTCTCCGGGAAGATCCAGAGGGGGCCAGTAATGGGGAGAGGGAGGGGAGGGGTGCATCCAGAAGTCCTGCCCTCCCCTTCCCCCGCTCCCCCTGCTCCCGGCCTGGCTGGGCTGAGGCAGAGCAGCAGGCCCGGCCCTCCCCCCTCCCCCACCCCCCTACCCCCCCCACCCCCCGCGTACCCTGGCAAGTATCATCCTGTCCAAGTCCAGGCTGCGGACCACGCCGAAGTTGCACTCGGTGGACACCAGCGGCTCCCCCATGAGCAGCGGCTCCAGCAGCAGCGTGGTGCGGCCCAGCACCTTGAGGATGGGCGGGTCCTGCCGCAGCTCCTTGGGCAGCAGCTCCTTCTTCTTCTTCTGGAGTCTCTTCTCCTGTGGAGAAGCAGGGAAGGCAGGCGGGGAAGGCGAGCCCAGCCAGGCAGGGGACGCGCCTGGGCAGCCGCGCTCCTACCTTGGGGGCCCCCTCCGCTTTCCCTTTCTTCTCCTTCTTGCCGTCCTCCCCTTTGCCCTTCTTGGGAGACGCGGGAATCTCAACCGGAGGGGGCGGAACCAGGGGCCAGGAGAGAATCTGGTGACAGCGGGTGGCGGGGTGAGGGGGGAGAGCAGGGGGGAGGGTGGTCCCCGGGCCCGAGCAGGGGCCGCCCGCAGCCCACCTTCTGCTCCACGATGGCCACCGTCGTCCCCGCCAGCAGGAAGGCCTTGACCGGCACCAGGTTCTTGAGCGTGTGCTGCATCTCATACCCGCAGGGGATCACGTCCGCCCAGGGCTTGGGGACCGTGCTGAAGAGGGTCGTCCTTGGAAGGCAGAGGCAGACAGAGCACGTCACCTGCCGGCGACGGGCAGACGGGGCGAAGGTGCAGGGCATGGCGGGGAGCAGCCGAGCACTGCCCATGGCAACCAGCCTCAAATGCATCAAAGGGTTTTCCTGTTTTGTTTTTTGAAAAAACAGCATGGCAGAAACAACTAACTAACTAACTAAAGCCTGGTGCTATAGTCCTGGCTACTGAAGAGGCCAAGAGCTGAGGACTGAGCCTGGCCGCCAGTCCCGCCAGGCACATCCCTGAGATGAATAATCGTAAGCGCTGGAGAGGACCGGAGTGAGCACTTGAAGACTGAGCACGAGTGAGAATTTTCAGGACCAAACTGGAGCAAAGGACAGCAAAGGTCTGTGTAGCGTAGGGCACTCGCTTAGAGGTGCACTACTGGGGTCCAAAGAGCAGCAGAGGAGGAGCCTGGGATTTGGTGGCCCCTTCAGGCTCAGGGTGAAGTCACTTCCAGCGCAGTGGGTGAGAAGCAACAGATCTCTAGGAAATCTCAGGGAGACCGAACAAAAAAGTCAATCCAGGGCCCTCCAGGAAAGGAAAAAGAAAAATCAGCAAGAGCCAGAGCTCAAAGGGCTGTGGCTCAAGCGGAAGAGCATGAGCTCCCAGTGAAAAAGCGAATGGATGGGGCTGGGAAGGCGGCTCAGTGGTGGAGCACTTGCCTCGCATGCATGAGGCCCTGGGTTCCATTCCTCAGCACCACAGAAGCAGAAAAAAGCCAGAAGTGGTGCTGTGGCTCAAGTGGTAGAGCATTAACCTTGAGCTGAAGAGCTGAAGGACAGCACCCAGGCCCAGAGTTCAGGCCCCACAACTGACCAAAACAAAAACATTTTTAAAAAATGGTATCATCGGGTCTCTGCACAGAGAAATGGAATGTACTTGGCACTAAGACTGAAGCGCATCAGATGTGTGAGGCCAGGTGTGGTGGCTCATGTCAGTCATCCCGGCTGCCAGGGAGCCGCTAGAGGCCGGTGGGGCCCGGTGGCTGTTTACCCCGGGGATGGGCAGAGCCGGAGGTTGATGCGCGGCCGGAGCTTCGCCAGCTCTTCTGCAGATTCTGTGGACTGCTGCAGGCGGGGCGACGGGACGGTGAGAACAGAAGACTCGGACTGGCCCTGCTCCGTGGCCCCCGACTCCACGGACTCTTCGGCCCCCTCTTCAGGGACCGCCTGGGCCCCCTGCTGCGTGGGCGGGGTGAGCTCCTTGGTGATGCTCCTGGCGGCCTCCCTCTGGGTCTCCTTGGGGGCCCCGACAGTGCTGGACCTCTTGGGGATCTCTTCCTCCTTGCTGGCCTCGTCGGAGGACTGCCCGTGGCTCTCCTCTTCCGGCAGCTCCTGGCTGGAGGACTGATTGGCCATCTGCCAGGAGAGACCACGCGCTGCGGCCGGGCCGGCCACCGCCCCGCGGCTGATGCCAGCGGCCCGCGCCTTTTGCCTATTTCTTTTGTGGTGGGATGGAAGCCAGGCTGACACTAAGCGAGCACGCTCCCCTGCGCACCGTGTGACTTTACAGTGGGACTGAAGCAAAGACGGCCAGGTTACCGGGAAACACAAGGCCGGCCTCCACGTGACCGGGAAGGGGCCATTTGTCCCTGTGCCCTGGGCCTTCCCGGGGCACGGAGGGGGGCGGAGCGGGTATGGTGGAATTGTGCAGCAGCAGCCTGGGCGCCGTGTGAGGCAGGGACGCCACCGCCCGGGGCAGCGGCCGCACCTGCAACAGCACCTGGCTGGACGGCTTCTCCTCCCCCTCCACCTCGTCCTCCACGAAGTCGTAGGTCACGTAGTAGTTGTAGGCGATGAACGGGCCCTCGGGGCCTGGCTCAGGGTCCAAGATGGAGGAATCCACCAGGCCCCTGATGTTCCCAATGGTCACCAGAAACTGTGCTTCATGTGCCAAGAGGTCTGCCAGGGGGCAGGCAGCAGGGGTGAGGGACAGAGGATGGCAGGCAGACAGACAGACAGACACACACACACACAGACAGCCTGGGGACTGGAGGCAGGGAGGAGCCGGCCCCCAGCAAGGTCAAGTTCAATGGGAGCCCTGCCCTGATCGCCCATGCTTGATGGGTGTGTGTGTGTGTGTGTGTGTGTGTGTGTGTGTGTGAAGGCCCTGTCTCACCTACTCATGAGCCACAAGGGGGCGATCTCAAGCCACCCTGGTTATGAATGAAACAACTGGGGCCCAGAGGTCAACCTCTGGAGAAAATCCTGTCCCAGACCTCGCTTGCTAAAGCAGACAGGTCAGCCGGGCGCTGGTGGCTCACGCCTGTAATCCTAGCTACTCAGGAGGCTGAGATCTGAGGATCGCGGTTCAAAGCCAGCCCGGGCAGGAGAGACCGTGAGACTCCTATCTCCAATAAACCACCAGAAAACCGGAAGTGGCGCTGTAGCTCAAGTGGTAGAGCGCTCGCCTTGAGCTGAAGAGCTGAGGGACAGCGCCCAGGCCGAGTTCAAGCCCCACGACCAACCAAAAAAAAAAAAAATAAAGCAGACAGGTCAAGCTGGTGCTGAGAGTCTGGGGTGCGGAGCAGCGGCACCCCCCCTCTTGCTCCCCCCCCAGACCCACCGGCGCTGCGGCTGAGCCCCCGGAAATGGTGCCTCTCATTGGGGGACACGGTGATGTCGTCCAGCACACAGAGGTGGGCCAGGCTGTCCACGGTGAGGCCGCGGTAGTAGGGCACCAGCGCCAGAGGGTTTCCTTGTAGCACCAGCAGCCGCAGGCTCTGGAGGGTGGACAGGCTGGCCACCATGCTTTGCAGGTCCGTCAGGTCGTTGAAGCCCAGGTCCAGGGAGACGAGGTTGGGCCTGAAAGGGAGGCCCCGCGCGGTGAGCAGGGGAGGCGCCCAGAGCCCGCGTGTGAGAGGCCCATGGCCCAAGGCTCGGCCTGCCTGCCTCCATTCACACCAGTTGTTCCTCTCCGGGCAAGGCCATTTCCTGTCAGGCCTGCGGAGGCTGGGGACGTGGGAGGCCTGCAGAGGCTCTGGGGCCCCGGGGTGTCATCCTCCTGGCCATGACCGCACGAAGCCACGCGGGCACGCGGCTCACTTCTCTGGCTGGGGTGAAGGAGCGCGAGCAGGAGCGCAGCAAAGTGCGCCAAGAGGCGACTCCTGGGCACAGGCCTCACCTGGCCCCTTGGGGCCTCGGCACCATCCAGGGACATTTTGATCATCCCCAGAGAGGTGGGGGAGGGGGAGCAGCTCCTGGCAGCAAGTGGGGTTTCCTGATTGACTGAGAACCCAATCTAGAGAGCCAGGGCCTCTTGAAGCCCAGAACCCCAGTCTCCAGAGGAGAGGCGCAGTCCCACCGCCCTTCCCTCCCCTCCTTCCGGCCACAGGCACCAGTGTTGAGACGTGACGAAGAGACTTTCCAAGGGGCCCAGGAGCTTGTTGTGGCCGAGCCCCAGATGCTGCAGCCGGGGCGGAGGGCACGTGCACAGGCACACCATGCTGCTGATCGAGTTGCCGTACAGCTCCAGCACCTGCAGGTGAAGAGGGAGCGTGTGGGTGAGGCCAGGCCGCCCAGCCTCCGTCCTGGGAAACTCAGAAAGACGAGGGCTGAGTCCATTCCTCTCTCTCTCTGTCTCTCCTCTCTCTCCTCTCTTTCCTCTCCTCTCTCTCTCTCTCTCTCTCTCTCTCTCTCTCTCTCTCTCTCTCTCTCTCTCTCCTGGAGCTTGAACTGAAGGCCTAGGCACTGTCCCTGAGCTTTTGTGCTCAAGGCTACTACTCTTACCAGTTGAACCACAGCTTCACTTCTAGCTTTTTAGTGCTTACTTGGAGATGAGTCTCACCAGTCTTCCGCTAGTGGGTTAGTCATTCTCAGTGTTTAACTCAAAGTCCAGGCCTTTTGTATACAGTGAGCTGAAGACGCATGATAAAGCCTGGCCTATCTTTTTCTTCTTTTCCAGTCGTGGGGCTTGAACTCTGGCCTGGGCGCTCTTCAGCTCAAGGTAGCGCTCTATCCACAGCACCACTTCCAGTTTCCTGGCAGCTCATTGCAGATAAGAGTTTTGCAGATTTTCCTGCCTGGGCTGGCTTTGAACTACGATCCTCAGATCTCAACCTCCTGAGCAGCTAGGATTTACAGGTGTGAGCCACCAGTGCCTGGCTCCTTTTTTTTTCTTAGCTGATCCTAGAACTTGAACTCAGGGTCTGGGCACTGTCCTTAAGCTTCTCTTGCTCAAGGCCAGTGCTCTACCGCTTGAGCCGCAGCACCACTTCCAGCTTTTTCTGAGTAGTTTATTGGAGAATCTCACAGACTTTCCTGCCCTGGTTGGCTTCAGACAGGGCTGCTCAGATCTCAGCCTCCTGACTAGCTGGTATTACAGGTGTGAGCCACCAGTACCTAGCTTCAGCTTATATTTATGTTTAACTGTGTATGGGGGGGCGGGGGGAGTACTGGGGTTTGAACTCAGGGCTTCATACTTGCTATGCACTTTACCATTCGAGCCACACCTTTAGTCCTTTTAACTTTGAGGGGAACACAGCCTAGGGCTAGTTCTTCTTTAGCACAGGCCACCCTGGCAAACCAGCGTAGGTGCAGGTTTTCTGGGTGCCCTGCTCAAAGGCTCCTCTGGAAGTGGAGCTCTGTACCTTGAGTGTAGGGGGCAGATTCGAGGCATCGACTTCCTTGATTTCATTGGCACTCAGTACCAGCTCCTCCAGCTTGAGAAACTTCAGGAGGTCTCTGTCCACCAGGCTCACCTGGAAGGAAGGACAGGATCCGATCCCAGCCTCCCCCCCAGCCACAAGCCTCCCCTGCTCTGCAGCTCTGCAGGGTGGAAGCCGAGAACGTGTGCGGGACCTCAAGGCCGGGGCTCCACGTCCCTCAGATGGTGAGATTCTTGGGAGAGAAGGAACTGGTCTTTGCCACCGCCTCAGAGCCGCAGTGACCCCGAACTCCCCCCCCCTCCCCCGGCTAGCCGGCGCGGGAGGCCTGCAGCCATAGCTGTGGCATACAGGATGCAGGGCCGGGCAGAAGCGCGGAAGCCCCGATTCCCTGTGGCCGCCAGGACATCTGGGCCTTCCCGGCTGGGCTTTCCCGACCTACAGTGACCAGCCTGCCGCATCCTCAGGGGTTTCCTGAGACACAGATTTTCACGGTCACTAGGGGACAGCCCATAGCCAAGCCACCCTCCTCTTCCTCTACTAGCAGGTCATTTCCTGGGTTCTGGGGGGAAAAGAACAAAGAGCAGGAAGGCTGAGGCCAAGTTTCTATGCAACTTTGGGGTCCTGTTATTTTTGATCTAGCAAAGAAGGCTTTTGTTTTTGTTTTTTTGGTCGGTCTTGGGGTCTGAACTCTGGGCCTGGGCACTGTCCCTCAGCTCTTCAGCTCAAGGCTAGTGCTCTACCCCTTGAGTCACAGCGCCATTTCCGGCTTTTTCTGCTTATGTGGTGCTGAGGATTCGAACCCAGGGCCTCATGCATGCAAGGCAAGCACTCTACCACTGAGCCACCTTCCCAGCCCTAAGGCTTTTTTCTTTTTCTTTTTCTTTTTTTTTGGTCGGTCGTGGGGCTTGAACTCTGGGCTTGGGCGCTACTCCTGTGCTCTTCAGCTCAAGGCGAGCGCTCTACCGCTTGAGCCACAGCGCCACTTTCGCTTTTCTAGTGGTTAATTGGAGATAAGAGTCTCACTGACTTTTCTGCCAGGGCTGGCTTTGAACCATGATCCACAGATCTCAGACTCCTGAGTAGCTAGGATTACAAGTGTGAGCCACCGGCACCTGGCTAGAAGGCTTTTTAGTAACAGAAGTAAACAAAGTTAGCAGGATATAAAACTTCCCCAGCACCTGTTCCCCAGTTAAGGTTAAAAGAAAAAAATCAATGTGGGCCAGGCAGTGATAGCTCACACACACCTGTAATCCTAGCTACTCCAGAGGCGGAACTCTGAGGATAAGACTCAAAGCCAGCCTCGGTGGGAAAGTCAGTGAAACTCTTCTCTCCAATTAACCACTAAAAAGCGGGAGGTGTGGCTCAAGTGGTCGAGCCCAAGCCTTGAGCACAATAGCTCAAGGACAGCACCGAGGCCCTGAGCTCAAGTCCCAAGGTGCGACAGGCGTCATCCTCAGAAGGTGAAGGAAAGGGGAAGAAGGGGGCGCGAGGTCCTGCCCGCCGGACACGCGGGTCCGGCCAGCGAGACGGAAGGCGGCAGGGAGCCGGCCTCGGCCTCGGCACCCACCTGCTTGTCCACGACCCTCAGGGAGCGGAAGTAGGAGTAGAAGAAGGTGTCCTTGAGCTTCAGAGGGCTGCGGATGGCCAGCTCTCTCAGGAAGCGGTCCTCGGCGGAGGAGAAGCCCAGCTGAGTCCCGTGGGCCCAGGGCGAGTGGGGGCTGCGCACCAGGGCCAGCAGGGCCTCCACCGTCTCCTCCTCCGGGCTCACTGCCTCCTCTTCCGTGGGGACCAGCTCCCGCCAGGTCCGCCAGCTTTTAGGGAGAAAGCGAGACTTATTCTGCCAACGGGAAGAGGAGATTTTTTCTTAAACGATCCAAAACCATGAAGTTAAACGCATGGGCGGCTGGACAGGCGGGGGTCGCTGAGGAATGGCCGCCATGGGCCTCACACCGGTGACCGCCCGGGAGGCGTGGAGAGAAGGACGGAGGGGAAGGGGCTGCACGCGCCGGGGCCCGGGGCCCCTTCCCTGCCGCGTCCTCCGAAGGACGCCGCCAGCCCGGCTTCACATCCGGCCCACAACGTGCCCCGGGCGCGGCTGGGAACCCGCGCCACACCGCGGCCCTCCGCCAGCAGCCTGGCGTGAGGTCGGGTGCCGGGGCCTCCGGGCTGAGCCGAGGCCCGGGTCCGGGCCAGCTCCGCGGGCTCAGACCGAGGTGCTGCCGGCTTGGCAGGGCCCGCGCCGGGCGACGGCCTGGGGGCGCGGCCTGGGCCGGCCCTGACCCCGTGCGCGAGCTCCTTCCAGGACTCAGGCCTGGCCACCCCGAGCCTGGCGCGTCACCCCTCGGCTCCCACGACGCGCCTCAAAGACCTCGGGCCTCCAGCCAGGCTCCCCGCCTCCGCCTCAGGCCGGGCGGCCCTGTCCCCTCCCGCAGGCCGGCCCCGGGCGCCCGCACCCAGCTGCCCGTGCCGCACGGGAACTCGCTCAGACACAGCTGCCGCAGGTGCTCGCGCACGAACGCGCTCACGGTCCCGGGCGCGCCCTCGCCGCCTCGCCTGCTGAGGCCTGAAGAGCTGGACGACGCCATGCCGCGGGCCTCAGCGTCCGCTGCCTGGCAACCGACGGCGCGCGCTCAGCCCCGCTGCCAGGCAACCGACGGGCGCGCGCTCAGCTCCGCTGCCAGGCAACCGACGGGCGCGCGCACAGCCCCGCTGCCAGGCATCCGACGGGCGCGCGCACAGCCCCGCTGCCAGGCAACCACAGGACGCGCACGCGCACAGCCCTGCTGCCAGGCAACCGACGGATGCGCGCTCACCCCGCTGCTAGGCAACCACGGGAGAGCGCGCTCAGCGCCGGCTGCTAGGCAACCGGAGGGTGCGCACGCGCGGAGCCCGCTGCTAGGCAACCACGGGACGCGCCGGGCTGGGCTCGTGCCCGAGCGCGGGAGCGCACGGCTTCTCCCCACGTGGGCTAGCGCCCCGCGCCGGATCAGGCTCAGAGCCCGCTCGGCGCCCAAACCCGCGGGTCTGCCGGGACCCGGTCCGCTGGCAATCCGCTGAGCACAGGCCGCCGGCTCTGGCGGGTGACCTGCTCCGATGCCCGCGCCGCGGCTCTCCGTGCCAAGCGCTGCCTGTTGGCAGGTCTGGAAAGGAGAAATGACCCCAAGGCGCGGCGTCCACTTCGGAGGATGTTTATTAAGACCGAGCCCGGCCCCGCGCGCCGGCGGCTCACGCCTGTCATCCCAGCTGCTCAGGAGGCTGCGATCTGAGGACCGCGGTTCAAAGCCAGCCTGGGCAGGAAAGTCCGTGGGACTCTCATCTCCAATAAACCACTGGAGGACCGGAAGTGGCGCTGTGGCTCAAGCGGCAGAGCACTAGCCTTGAGCTGAAGAGCGCAGGGACAGCGCCCAGGCCCAGAGTTCAGGCCCCCAAGACAAAAAACAAAACAAAACAAAACAAAAACCCAAACAAGTTTTCCTGTGTTGGTTCCCTCCCTCCCTCCCTTCCTCCCTTTTGTTACTGGAATTTGAACTCAGAGCCTTGCTACCCTGGGCACACTTCTTTTGAATAGATAGTATTTTAAATAGATATGTTTAGCCAGGTGCGGCTGGCTCACACTTGTCATCCGAGCTACTCAGGAGCCTGAGATCTGAGGACCTCCATTCAAAGCCAGCCTGGGTAGAAAACTCGGTGAGATTCTTACTTCCAATAAACCATTCAAAACTACTAAAAGCTGGAGGTGGCTCTGTGGTTCAAGTGGTAGAGCTCCGGCCTTGAGCACAGAGGCTCAGGGACAGCGCCCAGGACCAGCAAAAAAAGAAGAAAAGATACAGTTAAACGTTTGGCCCTTTGGTAAGTATTTAATAGTTGAAGAAATCACTAAGCTGTTTTCCACACTGGTGGCACTGACAATGTTCATTTGGGAAGTGTGTCCGTGTTCCGGTGTCTCCGCGCTCCCAACAGTTCATAACACCATCACAGATGCGACTAGGCCCTCACTGTAGTTTTGGTTACATTTTTCAAATACCCAACTAGTACTAAAGTGAGTGAGCATCCTTTTATGTAGCTTTTCTTGCTCATTTTAAAATTGGTTATTTGGGGCCCCATGACTGACCAAAAAAAAAAAAAAAAGAAAGAAATTGGTTATTTGTCCTTTATTGAGCTGTAAGAGTTCTTTATATGTTCAGATACTACCCTAGATAAGATTGGACAGTTGGGGGCTGGGAAGGTGGCTCACTGGCAGAGTGCTCGCCTACCATGCATGAGGCCCTGGGTTCAATTCCTCGGTGCCACATACACAGAAAAAGCCAGAAGTGGTGTTGTGGCTCAAGTGGTAGAGTGCTAGCCTTGAGCAAAAGAAGCTCAGGGACAGTGTCCAGCCCTGGGTTCAAGCCACAGGACTGGAGGAAAAAGATTGGACAGTTGGGAATTTTCTCTCCCATTCTGTGGGCACAGCCCGGCCAGGCTTCGGGGTGAGGCCACGTTGAGCCGCACTCCAACCCCCACCTTTATCTTCTTTAAAAATGTTGTTTGTACTTTTGTCATTTCTAAGAAAACCGTGGCTTACTTCACAAGCCGGGGCCGGGGCATTCCTTGCCCATTCTGCTCACCAGATTTGTGTCAGATTTCTGGCTTGCGAATCTCCCCAGCTCTGCTCATTCTCTTATCGGCGCCCGCAGCCCCCTCTCCTCCGGCCATTTCCCTCTTCCTTGTCCTCACCTCCTCAAGGTTTCCTCATTGCTAGAACCACACCAGGGCTTCCACCCCAAGAACTTGTTCCATGTTCCCCTAGAAAGTTCTATGACCTCATGAGCGCAAACCCCATCGGTGCTCTCCAGCCTTATCTTCTTGAACTCTGCGTGGCTCACAGCCATGTCAACCATTTCCTCTAGCCTGTAAAACCACTTCCAATCCGGTTCCAGGGCCACCTGCTTTCCTGGTACTTGGCTGGCCTCCTTGAATTTGCCCCCTAGGATCTTCCAGATCTTCCAGTTCCATCCTTGGGGGAGTCCCAGGGCTCTCCCCAGCCTCCAGGGCAGCGAGGCCGGCGCGAGCCTCCGCTCAGCTACTCAGCACTCTCTCAACCGCCGCGTCTCTCAACTCTCCTAATCATGTGGGCGTTGTTTGTTTTTCTGGGGTTTACTGGGGTTTGAACTCAAAGCCTCAAGCATACTACCAGTTGAGCCACGTCCTTAGTCTCCCTTTTGTTTATTACGTTGAATTACTTTTTTTTTTTTTTGGTTAGTTGTGGGCTTGAACTCTGGGCCTGGGCGCTGTCCCTGCGCTCTTCAGCTCAAGGCTAGCACTCTACCTCTTGAGCCACAGCGCCACTTCTGGTTTTCTGGTGGTTTATTGGAGATAAGAGTCTCATGGACTTTCCTGCCTGGACTGGCTTTGAACTGAGATCTTCAGATCTCAGCCTCCTGAATAGCTAGGATTATAGGTATGAGCCACCAGCGCGTGTGTATATGGTACTGAGAAATCGAACCCAGGGTTTCATGCATGCTAAGCAAGCACTGTACAACTAATCTGCATTTCCATCCCTTTTTGAGTTACTCTTAAGAAATGTTTTAGCTTAGGGCTGCAATATGGCATCCTGTGTAGCTGAGATTGCAGGCATAGGCCACCATGCCTGGCCAATCATATAGCTGTTCTTTTGTAGGGTGATTATTGCTAGGTGCTTCTAACATAGTTATTTATGAATGATTTTTTTGGGGGGTCCAGTTGTGGGGCCTCAACTCTGGGCCTGGGCGCTGTCCCTCAGCTCTTCAGCTCAAGGCTAGCGCTCTACCACTTGAGCCACAGCACCACTTCCCGCTTTTTTCTTTTTGCTTATGTGGTGCTGAGGAATCGAATCCAGGGCCTCAGGCATGCAAGGCAAGTACTCTACCACTGAGCCACCTTCCCAGCCCCTTATGAATGATTTTTATCACTGCCATTTGACCAATAGAGCAGCAAATCCTTTGGCCAGCAGCCTTGCCTAAATTTGCTGCCACTTCTGAGATTCTGTAAGAGGACCTCATCAAAATGGGCAGTTAAAACAGGAATAAATTAGCCTGGTGAGGTAGTGCACATCTGTGATCTCAGCTACTCATTGTGCGGAAGGGTTGAGAGTTTGAAGCCAACCTGGGCAGACTTACGAAGACCCTGCCTCAAAAACATAATGTAAGCCAAGTGCTGGTGGCTCGCACCTAAAATCCTAGCTATTCAGGAGGCTGAGATCTGAGGATCACGGTTCAAAGCCAGCCTGGGCTGGAAAGTCTGTGAGACTTTTTTTTTTTTGGTCGGTCGTAGGACTTGAACTCTGGGCCTGGGCGCTGTCCCTCAGCTCTTCAGCTCAAGGCGAGCGCTCTACCACTTGAGCCACAGCGCCACTTCCGGTTTTCTGGTGGTTTATTGGAGATAGGAGTCTCACGGTCTCTCCTACCCGGGCTGGCTTTGAACCGTGATCCTCAGATCTCAGCCTCCTGAGTAGCTAGGATTACAGGCGTGAGCCACCAGCGCCCGGCTGTGAGACTTTTATCTCCAATTAACCACCAGAAAACCAGAAGTGGTGCTGTGGCTCAAGTGGTAGAGCACTAGCCTTGAGCTAAAGAGCTGAGGGACAGCACCCAGGCCCCAAGTTCAGGCCCCACGACCCACCGAAAAAAAAATTTTTTACATTAAAAAAAATATGTGTGTGTAGATTGGATGGATGGATAGATAGATAAATAGATAGATAGATAGATAGATTAGATGATAGATAGATAGATAGATGGATGGATGATAGATGGGCTAGGGGTTGAAGCCCCAGGGACAGAGTGCCCGCCTAGCATAGGAGAGGTCCTGAGTTCAAAACCCCAGATGACAAGAAAGTAAATAGGAATAAATTACTTGAATGGTTCTTCTGAGGGGCTGGGGAACAGCCGCCCTCGCTCGGCTGTGGGCGTGGGCAAATGTCTCCCACTGACCTGTATCTCAAGCCCGATGACAAACAACTGTTTGTAGTTAATTTTTCCATTTGGTGGCAGGGATTCATCTCTAGTTCAAACTCGCTTTGAATTCATGATCCTCCTGCCCCTGTCTCCTGAGCGCAGGCACAACAGGAGCTTGTGATCATACTGGGCTCATGTTCCTGGTTCCAGGGGCTGGGCCGCAAAAGCCCCGCACAGGGCCCAGCGATGTTCAAGGCCACGCGGAGCAGCCCCCAGGGCCTTTGCATCGCCCTGTTCAGGGGCTAGCAGAGCATCCTTGCTCACTTCAGAAACTCCCAGAGCTAACCTACCTGCCAGCCTCCCGCCAGACCTTCCAGAGCTGCTCTGTGCCTCCGCCCACCGGGCAGGACTCCCCAGAAACTCCCGGGGGGGCACCCCCTTCCCCCTCCTGCCATTCACTTGCTCCTTTCAACGCTGGCCTTCATATTTTCCTCTGGGCAAATCAACGAGTTCTTTCCAAGAAGACACGCTCAAGATGCACATGCCTTCCTGTGCCCTGTGTGTACGCATGCGTGAGCGTGCGTGTGAGAGAGAGGGAGACAGAGAGAGAGGTTGAGTCAGGCTCTGCCCGCCTTGAGGGTAACCTCAGCGTTTCCTTCCAGCCCCGCTTTCACCCAGCGTCAGTTTGGCAATTTTTTCAAAAAATTTTCTTGAGAAAAGCTGAGCAATGGCTTTGCCGTGGGCGGGCCCGCGCCCCTCTTCCTCCCGCTGATCCTTTATAAAGCCCGGCCCCGCGGCCATGGCCACCACAGCGGGCTCCAGAGGCCCCGGGCCAGGCAGCCGGCCTCACCATGCTCTCCCCCGCAGCTGCACTCCGCCCTGGTGAGCAGCTCCTATCTGGCCTGGTCCCTTCCCACCCGAGGGAAGCGTGTCGAAGCTGCCACTCCAGCAGTGGCTTGACAGCGGCTTGCGTGGCTGAGCGGGGTGGGCAGCGGTCTGATGGGTGTGTTCATGCATGTTTTTCTCTCTCCAGGACCCGCGAAGCCCGCCCTGCTGCTGCTGTGCTGTGTGGGGACGTGGCTGTCCACCCTCGCAGGCCCCCTCCGTGGACCGTCGCTATGTGACACAAAGACTATCCTGGAGAATTTACAGTTCGAGGCCAACAACCTCAATAAACACTATGTAAGTGCTGCGGAGGTTCTTTCCAAACCATTGCTTTAAATGTCTTCTAGCCAGGAACCGGGGGCTCATGCCTAGAATCCTAGCTGCTCAGGAGGCTGAGATCTGAGGATCGTGGTTCAAAGCCAGCCCGGGCAGGAAAGTCCGTGAGACTCTTATCACCAATGAACCACTAGAAAACCAGAAGTGGCGCTGTGGCTCGTAGAGTGCTCACCTTGAGCTGAATTGGTCAGGGAGAGTGCCCAGGCCCTGAGTTCAAGCTCCAGGACCAGCACACACACACACACACACACACACACACACACACACACACACACACACCCAAAAGCTCTTTTCAGATTTGAAGGAAGGGAAGAAGAACCAAAAAGCTCATGAGAGGCTTGGGCTGCCCTGGTGAACAGGGCTTGCCGGGCAAACCGAACCCCCAGGCATTTCCAAGCGACTTCTGCAGCTGGAAGTGCAGTCTTGGGGTTCACCTTGTACTCAGGACTCCCCTGTGAGCCACAATAGCTGCTCTGAGCCACACACCAAGTCCCGGGAACACAGGGCTTCACAAGTCCCGCCTCCCAGAGGCTCATCCTTCCAAGCAGGTGGTTGGGGGCACCCGCTAGGGGAGTGGGGCCTCCACCGAGCTGAACCCCCAAAATATGAATGAAATACTCTGGTTTCCCAGGATGCCATCTCGGCAAGACTTCTTAGCTACCTGCGACTACACAAATAAACCAAACAGATGTGGGTGACGCGTGCGTCCTTGCACACACACACACACACACACACACACACACACACACTCCCCCCGGCTTTTCTTCAGCTTTGATCGTGGCTTTCTAGATGGGAAGCACAGTCAGATGGAGTGTGAGGACATCTCTCCGCCATTTGGCCAAACCCCAGAGCTGTCCGGCTTTAGGAAGGAGAGGAGACAGGGTGGGAGGGCGCGGGCAGGGCTCCTTGAGGCCCTTGGTTTGGGAAACCAGGAGGAGGTTCATAAGTTACCCTTCTCCATCCAGAAGAGACTAAGGGAGTCTGCACCGAGGCACACAGGGCCCCGGGCACCTCCGCAGATCGCAGTGGGCTGGCACCCCTGTAAATGGGAACCGTGGGGGGCAGAGCTTCATGGGTCATGGCACCAGTAACATCAGGTGTGAGCCAGGCTGGACACGAGCGATGGGCAGATCTATGTAGGTGTTGCCAGCCTGCATTTACCATCTCTCCTCCTCTTCCCACAGGAACTGGGGGAGCGGGGGCTGCCACCGTCTGAAGGGGAGAGCCACTGGCTGCCCTGCTTCACCCCCGGCCCACAAGCGGCCAACAACATCTCAGTTATTCAGGCCTATTTCCAGAAAGTCAAGAAGCTCAGCCTTGAGCTCAACCATCAAACCTATCAGAAGGAGCTGGACGTGATCATCAAGCGCCTCCACGATCTCAGATACGAAGATTCACCTGAGCCAAGCATTTCTGGAACCCCCGATCAGAATATTGACAAGAAACAATTCATCCGAGCTGTTTTCCGAGAGTTCTCCAAGTGCATGAACACAACTTACAAAGCCTTCGAGGAGAAACTGAAAGCGGAGGGCAAAGACTGCGCACGAAAGAGGCAGCGTCGCCTCCAGTGAGGCCCGTGACCTGCCGTCTGGAGACCGAGCACTGATGGACGAATGAACAATGTGAGCAGCACCTGGCCGGGGGCTGCGGCTGGTATTTAAAGCTGGTATTTATGGGATGTTTTCTCTTGTGTAGCCTCCAGTCTTATTCTCTTCCTACCCAGTGGGGCTGGAGGTGGCAGCTATATTATTTATTGATATTTATTGTGCTCCTTGCAGGAGTCCCGAGTCTATTTAATAAATTATTTTGTCATTTTCTCATCTTCTGGTCTGGATTCAGTGAGAGGGTTGAAATCGAAGGATGGGAATCCAGACTGTGTGATGCCGTGGGTGAAGGAGTGTGGAAATGGTCTAGAAACATCTAGTGCTTCTGTTCCCACAGTGATAGAGTCAAGCACATATAAGAATCTCAGAGCTAGCCGGGCGCTGGTGGCTCACGCCTGTAATCCTAGCTACTCAGGAGGCTGAGATCTGAGGATCGCGGTTCAAAGCCAGCCCGGGCAGGAGAGACCGTGAGACTCCGATCTCCAATAAACCACCAGAAAACCGGAAGTGGCGCTGTAGCTCAAGTGGTAGAGCACTCGCCTTGAGCTGAAGAGCTGAGGGACAGTGCCTAGGCCCAGAGTTCAAGCCCCACAGCCGACAAAAAAAAAAAAAAAAAGAATCTCAGAGCTGGGGGCTGGGAAGGTGGCTCAGTGGTAGAGTGCTTGCCTTGCATGCATGAAGCCTTGGGTTTGATTCCTCAGCACCACATAAGCAGAAAAAGCTGGAAGTGGCACTGTGGCTCAAGCGGTAGAGCGCTCGCCTTGAGCTGAAGAGCTGAGGAACAGCGCCCAGGCCCAGAGTTCAAACCCCACGGCCGACAAAAAAAAAAAAAAGAATCTCAGAGCTGGGCAGGCTGCTACACACCTGTAATCCCAGCACTTTTGAGCCTGAGACAGGAAGATCAAGAGTGCAACTCCTCAGAATCCCAGAAGTGACAACACTTTCTTTTTTTTTTTTTTTTTTTTTTTTCCAGTCATGGGGCCTGAACTCTGGGCCTGGGCGCTGTCCCTCAGCATTTCAGCTCAAGGCTAGCGCTCTACCACTGGAGCCAAGCACCACTTCCAGTTTTTTCTGCTTATGTGGTGCTGAAGAATCGAACCCAGGGCCTCTTGCATGCAAGGCAAGCACTCTACCACTGAGCCACCTTCCCAGCCCACAACACTTTCTTAAGCTGTTTTTTTGCCCCAGTCCTGGGGCTCAGAAGCCCGGGCGCTGTCCCTGAGCTTCATTGCTCAAGGCTGGCGCTCCACCGTGTGAGGCCCACCTCCTCTTTTGACCTTTTGGTGATCCATTGGAGAGAAGAGCCTCATGGAATTTCCTGAAAAGTCTGAAAGACTTTTATTCCAACTAACCAGCAAAAGGCCAGAAGTGGAGGTGTGGCTCAAGTGGTAGAGCACCAGCTTTGAGCAAAAAAGCAAAGTGAGGGCAAAGAATGTGGCTTAGTGGTAGAGCGCTTGCCTAGCATGCGTGAGGCCCTGGGTTTGACTCCTTGGTACCACATAGATACAAAAAAATAGATAAAATGATCTTTTTTAAAAAAAGCAAAGTGAGAATGTGGAGCCTGAGTTCAAGCCCCAATATCGGCACAAAAGTAAATAAAATATAAGGATAAAATCCAGCTTTTCAGTTGCAGGGACCCCATTCTAAGTGTCTCCGGGCCTTCATGTCGAGTGGCTCCCGAATCACACAGCAGAGCAACACAGGTAGAAGCGATTTCTCAATAGCACTGTTCTCTAAGAAAGGGGCTATGCTGTTGTGTTAGGTATTAACAGGGTTCCAGGGTTTGGGGTTTTTGTTTTGTGCTTTTCCTGGAGCTAGGACTTGAGCTCAGGGCCCCGCAGTCTCTAGGCTTGCTGGCTCAGGCTGGCACTCTACCACTTGAGTCATGCCTCCAGCCTGGCTTCTTGTTGGTTATTTTGGACATAGAGCCTCCTGGGCTTTTCTGCTGAGCTGACTTGAAACTGTAATTCTCCATATCTCAGCCTCCTGAGTAGCTAGGATTACAGGTGTGAGCCACTGATGCCAGACTTTGTGTTTTTAATCTTTTTTTTTTTTTTTGAGGGTACAGTTCTTGAAGGTAAAATGAGGGCCTTGCTCTTTAACCAACACAGCACAAGCCACACCTCCAGCCTCAGGAGGTTCTTAGGGAATTTTTGTCGGTTGTGGGGCCTGAACTCTGGGCCTGGGCCCTCAGCTCTTCAGCTCAAGGCTAGCGCTCTACTATTCAAGCCACAGCACCACTTCTGGCTTTTTCTGCTTATGTGGTGCTGAGGAATCGAACCTAGGGCCTCATGCATGCAAGGCAAGCGCTCTACCAGGGAGCCACCTTCCCAGCCTAGCCTCAGGAGTTTTGAACAGAGAAAAACAGGGAGGATGCAAATTACTTCTGTAGGGTAGAGAACACCATCGGTAAGGCCGGGGCTGTGGGCTGAAAGGTGTTCTGCAGACCATTATTGACCTGGGGCTGCTTTACTCCAGCCCCGCTTTCTTTTCTTCCTTTCTTTCTTTTTGGTCAGTTGTGGGGCTTGAACTCTGGGCCTGGGCACTGTCCCTCAGCTCTTCAGCTCAAGGCTAGTGCTCTACCACTTGAGCCACAGCGCCACTTCCAGCTTTTTCTGCTTATGTGGTGCTGAGGAATCGAATCCAGGGCCTCATGGATGCAAGGCAAGCACTCTACCAGAGTCACCTTCCCAGCCTCCAGTTCGTTTTTTCCAAATAAGGTCTTGTGCTGACCTTCCCAAGGCTGGCCTCGAACTGCAATCCTCCTGTTTCTAGCCGGCCCTCCCTCCCTACCCCGCTCCCAACTCCAAGCTAGCTGGGATTACAGGAGGGCACCACCACCCCAGGCCCTGTGTTCTCTACTCCAAGTCACCATCTTAGTGTGTCATGGCACGGATCACAGGCAGCTGATTGCGGCCTGGCGAGCTGTGGGCCTCCCCCCTCCCTCCCGCCCCACGTGAGCTCCGGCGGCTCCTCCATTTCCGTGGAGCCTCACTCCAAAGCCGGGGAGTGATTTCACGCAAGGATGGTCTCGCCTCACCACGCTTGGGGAAGTGACCCCTGGCCGGGCACAGGCCGCGGGCGAGACCAACGCCGCAGATTCCAGCACGCACTCGCCCCGCAGCCCGCGACCCTCCCTCTCCTCCCGGGTCCACTGGCGTGACGTGGGGCTCGGTGGCGCTTTTCCTGCCGCCTTTCGGAGCTGGTCTCGGGGGCTCTGTGGTGTGGGGCACAGCTCGCGGGTGGCGGGGGCCAGACACGGCCCACCGCGGGCAGCGCGAGGTAAACCCCAGGTATCCACATTCAACCAGCAGAACCCCAGCTATGGGCTGGGAAGGCGGCTCAGTGGTAGAGCGCTCGCCTCGCATGCGTGAGGCCCTGGGTTCGATTCCTCAGCACCACGTAAGCAGAAAAAGCCAGAAGTGGCGCTGTGGCTCAAGCACCCAGGCCCTGAGTTCAAGACCCAGGACTGGCAGGAGAGGGAGAAAGGCAGACAGACAGACAGACAGACGGAGGGAGGGAGGGACAGGGAGGGAGGGAGGGGTGTGGAGGGGAGGACAGGGTGAGATCTGGTTATGGTGCTCAGCAGCCTCCGACTCCCAGGCCCAAACGATCCTCCCGCCTCAGTCTCCTGAGTGACCAGGACTCAGGTCAACCCTACTGCTCTCAGCCAGCGAGGGGAAACACGTTCAACAGCATCCTGTTGCTCATCTGAAGGCTGGGAGAGCTGGGAGGGAAGGTGAAGACAGAGCGGATGCAGGCTGCAGTGAGCGCCAGGCGAGGGAGCGCCCGAGGGAGCCGCAGCAGCGCGAAGCTCAACCACACAGGCCACCACAAAGCAAACAGGGCGGCGGCTGTGTTCTGCCGTCCAATCAGCAGAGACTTTCCGAGCGATAAGGACCCCAGAAACCCCCACTCGCCGCCCCAAAGAGGCTCCCAGAGGCTGCCAGGAAACCTCAGCCCATCGCTCAGCCAGGAGCTGCGTGCGTCTCCGGACGGACGGGGCCGGCCCAGAGCGGCCCAGAGCGGCCCAGAGCAGCGGGACACAAGGCCCGGACTTGACAGTGCAAAGGACTGAGACCCCATCTGCATGGCCGCCTCCCGCCCAACCGGCCAGAAGGCGGTGACAACACACACACACACACACACACACACACACACACACACACAACAAGACACACCACCACACACCTGTGACAAGACACATCACTACACACGCGTGATGTCATTTGTTCTCCTTCAACATCATTTTCGCGAAACAGCATGGTAAAATGCCCCAAACACAATGTTAGCGAATGAAAGCAGTTACAAACACCATGTATTATGATTCTCCCCACTGAACTGAAAATGTGCACGCGCAAGGCCAAGCGTGGTGGCTCCCACTTATCAATCCCAGTGACCCAGAGGGCAAAGGATGGCGGTAAAAGAATTAACAAAGCCAGGAGCTGGTGGCTCACGCCTGTCATCCCAGCTACTCAGGAGGCTGAGAGCTGAGGATCGCGGTTCAAAGCCAGCCCGGCAGGAAAGTCTATCAGACTCTTATCGCCAATACACCACTAGAAAACTGGAAGTGGCGCTGTGGCTCAAGTGGTAGAGCGCTCGCCTTGAGCTGAAGAGCACAGGGACAGCGCCAGGCCCAGAGTTCAAGCCCCACGACCAAAAAAAAAAAATAGCAAGACCTCATCTCAACAAATATCTGAGACATGGTAATACACCCCTGTAATCGCAGCTACACAGACAGCATGTGTAGGGGGATCATAGTTCTAGGTCCTTGGCAAAGGCAAGGCTCTATCTGTAAAAAGAACCTAAAATCAAATAAAGCTGGAGATACGATTCAATACAGTACTAGTTATCACTAACTACAGAATATTTTAACCACTCTGTTATACCACATTTGGCAATTATGAACACATATGTGCGCGCGCGCACGCACACACACACACACACACACACACACACACACACAC